GCTGTAGAGCCTCCGGCTTCTTGAGTGACAGATGTAGATGACAGAGCAGCAAGCCCTGAGCCACTTCCCTCTGCAGCTCAGCACAGGCTAATGCACGAGAAAGCATCTTTCTCCAGTTTTTTAGGCAGGTGCTCCCAGAAACCTGTGATGCTGATGGAGAAGCTGCAGGTTAAAACCATTGGTGAGACTATGGAATCAGTATCATATATGGCCTAGGAAAATGGATATAACAGTGCACTATCCAAGATGAGCTTGGGGAAAAGGAATGGCCTTTGGAGTGCCAAAGTAAGAGATAAGGTTAAAAACTAATAGTTACTGGTTACACTCACTATAAAAGTTTAAGGAAGGGGTAGTCAGGATGGCTCAGCAGATAAAGGAGCTTGCTGTAAGCCTAGTCCATTGCTGGCTCTATCGTAGAGAAAGAGAGTCATCTCCTACATATTGTCCTCTGACCTCCACACCTATGTGCTCCCACAGGCAGACAGACAGACAGACACACATACACACACACACACACACACACACACACACACAGAGAGAATGTTTTATACTCATTGTGATTTAAATTTTATATATGAATCCTTTAAACAAATTAAGGTTGTTGACTGTTCTTAGGTACAGGATACAATAACTTAAAATGTCACTTATTTTCAATGTTCTTATTTTTCCAAAATTTTCATTTGCTAGTAACTTTCTGTATAACAGAAGTTTTTAATTTTTGAAAGATAGGATTTCATTTCCATCTACAGAAATAACTTGAATTTGTAATTCAGGAGTCATTTGAGCTTGTACTGTTTGACCATACTAATGATCCTGAACTATAGAGTCTGGTTGGGTGGGCAATGGCAGTGAAGACCTCCATGATGAGGGGAAGCTGGACTGCCTCCAAGCAGAACTATAGAGTACACATGGCCGTTTCCAGTGACCGCCATGCCAGAAAGGGCTGGGACACATTTCTGTTTTATATGCAGGCACAGTTTAAACACGATTGTGGCCTATAGCCTGCATTTCAGCAGGATGTGCTATAGGCAGTTATTTCTGTGGTTTGAATGTGAAGTGTCTCCCACTTGGTGCCTTTGACGGGAGGCCTAGCAGGCAGCTGTAAGGCCATAGGGTAGGGTTTAAGGATTATATGCCGGCTCCATTCTTATTCTAGGCAGAATTCCTGATCCACTGAGATGTGAGCAGACTGCCTCGCACCTGAGCTACCATGAAACCTGCACACCTTCCCCTCCATGATGGACCTAAACTGAGCCAGAGTAAAGCCTCGTCCTCTTAAATTGCTTGCTTCAAGTCTCCTGTCATGTTAGTGAAAATAATAGTGACAGGCTTCCTTCCTCCGTGCCAAATTGGTGATTTACACTAAATACAAGTTAGCCTGTTTCTCTATTGTGGTACATTAGAACCTGATGGGAATATACTAACATATATGTGTTTCTCTTACTGGTTGATGAATAAAACACTGTTAGCCAATAAAGCAAGAAGATAGTTGGGACTAGGAGACAAGGGGAATTCTGGGAAAGGTAGGCAGGGGGAGCCCACATTGCTATGTAGACCACAAAGGAGTGGTCTGGGGAGTCTCTGGTAAGCCAAGACCATATGAAAATACATAGATTAGTAGCTATGGATTAATAATTAAGACAGAGCTTGTCAACCAGAAGCCCTCGCCATTTGGCCAACAGTTGCATCAATCAATAAGAAACATATATGCAGAAGGACACTCCCGTCAAGAACCTTTATCTTTTGTTAAGCTCCTGTGTTTCTTGTGTCCCAGGAGTTACATTTGCTCAATAGTTGTCACAGAGATGCTGTCTCTGAGTGCACTGCACACCGCCTGTCCTCCATAAAGTCTGTGTGAACACTCATCCAGTAAGGGACACTTTTCTAGGCTCAGTGTCCTATGAGCCTCTGTCACAACAGTTTGGAAATCAATACACAACCAACAACAATCAACACATTTTACACACTACAGCTAAAAAACACTCAGTCCGCCTTCTGCTGCATTAATCCTTGGTTTCATCTGTTAGGTGTACTTTTCTCCATCAGTCACATCAGACTTAGATAGCACATCATTGCTGTGCCTCGGGGGAGGGGGCAGTTCAGCAGGAAACCCACACAGAAAGTACAAAGCAGTAGCAAGTCGGCCAGTCCAGGAGTGAGAAGCAAGAGCCCAGTGGTTCCTGGCTCAGTCTCCCTGGGAACGTGTCTGCAGTTGCTCAGCCTTCCTGCTGTGCTGCTCATGGCCTGTCCTCAGGTGGCTGTCAGAACACCAGCACCAGTTTTTAGGGTCAGTGTTCTCTACAGGTGTCTTGGATCCCCTGTGCCCTTTATGAAAGCCTGCTCTTGTAAGACACCTCCATACACTTAGACACTTGAACAATGCAGGCTTCTTCAACAATCCGTGGTTTGTAGCAAAAGAACACTTCTTCCCTGGACCATCTTCTTATCCTCTGGAGTCCATGTAGCTCAGCACAGACTCTGCCAAAAACCAAGATGCTAGAATTGCAAATGTAAACACTCAGGTGTGTTCTAGAATTGCAAATGTGAACACTCAGGTGCTGCTGCTGCTGCTGCTGCTGGAGGACTTCTGTTTGTGTCATTCCATTCCATTCCAGATTCCACCTGGTAGGCCCAAGACATTTTCTTCCTGGATACAGAGATTTAATGACTACTCACCTGTGTGCAGCTACAGTGTGAGCCCTTCTAATTTCTCCTTGGTCAAGTCTGGGCACTGTGTGTAGAGCTGGGGCTCTGGAGTTGAGAAGGCTCCGGCTCCTGGAGAGGTATGCTGGGGGCTGGCACTGGATCCACAGGTGATGCTCACAAATGATAGAGTGGAGTTAGGGGGCTGAGGTGAGTATAGTAAAGTCCCAAACCTACAGAAGCCATGCTCACCCACTAAGATACGTCTTTGTCTCCGAATGTGAAAGAACAAACGTGCAAAGGCTGGAAAGAGGGTGCTCACAGTGTGGGTCCCCTATGAGCTTGTGTCAGAAGCAGGCTCTGACAATGGCTGTGCATGTGTTTGTGTCCATTGCAATCACGGAATAATTAGAGGTTCAAACAGAAACAATTCTTATGCGGATAGGAAAAGAGGTGATGTGCCAAAGGATAAAGAGGGCTCTAGAACGCAGATGATAAAGCTTAATGGGAATCTAGAGTGTAGGTAATAAAGGTTAAATGGGATCTAGAACGCAGATGATAAAGCTTAAATAGGGCTCTAGAACAAAGTGAAAATCACAGAAAGTGAGCCATTGAGCACAGATGGTCATTGCAATTTCAGAGGATGTGAGGTCTGGGGACCCACTTTTAGACTGAACCGTGTCTAGAGGTAACTACTCTATCGTGTACTTAAAACTGAGCCATCATCCTAGAGCCTAGAGCCCAAGGACTGCTTTCCTATGGCTCATTTCTATGGAAGGAAAGGTTTCAGTGAGGTCCAAAGCTTTCTCAAGATTAAGGTTTTTAATGGAAAATAAAATGTTGTTAACCAGTCTTCAATTCAGAACCTTTAATTTAACAAATGAGTATGTAATGTCTGATATTTTTTGATATCTGAATTTTGTTCAAAGAAATAATACCAAGAGTTATATAATGGGGGCACAGAACAGGGTGTCTAGAGATGGGATGTTTAGTGAACAGGGTGTCTGGTGGACAGGTTATCTGGTGGAATGGGGTGTCTGGTGGATGGGGGTGTCTGGTAAGAAAGGCACTATGTCCTGTCAGAACTTCTGTCTCATTCTTCAGTCATCTCAGAGTGATGCGGCTGCATATGTAACAGGCATTTGCCAAGCTAGTGAGGGCTTCAGGAAGTCCCTTAACCTGCTCAAGTCCGTGGACATCTTCATTTCCGTGGCATGTGAACCCCTCCCCTGCCCTGCCATCGACATCTGTCAGGGTGCCTTGTTCACTGACATCATGGAGGACCGGGCCAGCATTCTGGGAAGTTGGCATCAGTCTCCTACCTTTTTGGGTTGACAGAAAGTGTGCCTTGGGACCCTTGAGGCTTGGTTCTCTTCACTTGTCCTCTCCAGGCACAGGTGGCCGAGTTGCCTTAGGTCCTTATGGGAATGCACACGGGACAAGAAAAGATTTTAGTGTTTTAAGTAAGATTTTTAATGTTGTCAATTCTAAATAATCAGTGCAGTTTTAAACCTTAAAACCTAAGTAGAACAATGTTTATTATCTTTCCTAAGCCTGTCGTTCTCTTAACTCAAGAAAGCCCACAGGACGGTGAGCAGGTGCGTGTGCTTAGACTACCTACCACAGAGAGAGTTAGGGTTGAAAGCACAGCATGAAGAAAGCAAGAGGGTGTGCCAGCGAGTGGGAGAGCTCAGTGCCTTTGTTTCATTAAAGTCTTCAGGTTGGCACACAGTGTGGCCACATTGTTACTAAAGACTGGGTAAACACTGAACACTGGGAAGGGCATGTTTTATATTGTTGGGCGGCTCTTCTGACTTAATCATATCAGGAAACCAGCAGGGAGAAAAAGACAGACATGCATGAGGGGACAATCTCCTTCAGCCCAGTGTCCATAGCCTTGATGTGAGCAGCTCGCAGAGGCCCGGGGAGGCCAGGGGAATGTGCACAAGAATGCACGCTGGTCATCGGGATAGCATAGCAAGTATGCTTAAAGTGGTTCAATCATTTATGATTCCTGAAATGATAGGAATTTTTAAAAAAAATCTCTGACACTATGCCGAACAAATTCAGAAGAGCGAGACAGAACACCAGCGTGACACTGAGCTAGTCTTTGGACCTGGGACACAGCTCAGGGTTGCTTTGAGAGTCGGGTGGGCATGTGGTCGAACCACTTACAAAGGAGCTCTGCTCCATGGAGTAGGCCAGGACTTTCACCACAGGGCGGTATCTGGTACCATGCTGCTATGGTTCATACTAAAGGGAAGACGTTTTCTTTATTTAAAAAGTGATGTTTTACCTTTTGTAGCTAATATAGACTCTGCCTCTCTGTGTTTCCAAAGCCAGAGCCATGACCTGAGACCCCGATGACCACTGTCAGGGCTGCTGGTGACCGGCAAGTGCACCATGGAACTTAAAGTATGGGTGGATGGAGTTCAGAGGATTGTTTGTGGGGTCACCGAAGTCACAACTTGCCAGGAGGTTGTAATAGCCTTAGCCCAGGCCATCGGTAAGTAAAATATGTCAAGTCAAAAAAAAATTAATTAATTAAAAATATATATTATATATACATATATATGTATGTATGTATATTAATATGGTACTTGTTACTTGTGGGGTGGTTCTGTGTGTGCATGAGCTAACTCTGAGCATCTTGATAAAAATACCTGAAAGTTAACTTAAGGGATGGGGGGAATATTTTGGTTCTTGGTTTCGGAGGGTTCGGCCTATAGTTTCCTGGCTTAAGAGCCTGGGCAGAACACCTAGGTAACAGGAACGCATGGGGTGCATAGGGAAGGGGGGGCTTATTCCCCCCAGCTGCAGCCCAGCACGGGGCCTCATTCCTACCCTGACTGTCCTGTCTGCCTGCAGCTTGCTCAGAAGGTGCCCTGTGTTTGACCTCACAGAGTGGCCTTCAGGGACTCTGTGTGACCTTGACGCACTTATTCTAATAAGGCCACACCTCCTAGGCTTCCTCAGATTACAGCACTCACCCCTGGTCACTAAGCATGCAGATACGTGAGCCTATGGGCCGCTCTTTCTCTCACCCCACGGTGTCCAAGTCCAAGGCTACAGGAAGAGGCAAGAGGCCGTCCCAGGGGACGTGACCCCATGGACCGGCTTCCTCCAGTTGGGCTCCATTTCCTGCCTCTTTCCACTCCTGGGAGTACAGTCGTAAGTCCATCAAAGGATGGATCTGTCTGTTTGGTCAGGTCCCTAATTGTCGCCTCTAAGACAGCAGCACAGACGCCACAGAGCTGGCTCTGCTAACCTAGGCTCTCCCTATGCGCCCGGGCCCTTTAACCCAGGCATGGCACACTCCCAGCCCTCCCTAGTGGGCCTGACGTCACTGCTCCTGGGGGCCTTTAACCCAGGCATGGCACACTCCCAGCCCTCCCTAGTGGGCCTGACGCCACTGCTCCCGGGGGCGCTTTAACCCATGCATGGCACACTCCCAGCCCTCCCTAGTGGGCCTGACGCCACTGCTCCCGGGGCGCTTCTGTTGGTCACCTGTGCCTGTGCTGTGCCACGCTGTGGGGACGCTGGCTCGCTCACTTTGAGCTGCCCCACATCACTAACCCTGTGTCTCAGGGCTACACAACCTGATGTTGACATTAAGTAGTGAGATTTTAGAATTATAGCTGTCCCTAATCCACAACAGATTCCTACTTCCCAGAACCCCTCACGAGTTAAGCCCTACTTATTGCCAATTTCCAAAACATTTAAAATAAAGAATAAATTAAATGGTATTTCTTTATTAAACAGAAATATGTACTTAATTTTTTTAACATACTGAAGATGAAGTTACCATGTTTCTAGCCCCATTTCCTGGGTCTGTCTTCCTACTCTGTTTCAACTTTCCTTCTAATTGATTTTAAGGTTTTCTTTAAAAGTATAGATTTGAAAAAGAAAACAAATTAAAAATAAAAAATAAATGTGTGTTTATATTACATACCTCCATCTGAAACTAGAGATCGAACCTAGAGAATTGAGAAAGCTAACCAAGCACCCTTCAGCTGGCTGGCCTCTGTCCCTAAGGGCTTGTTATTCCTGTTTTTGAGACAGGGTATCTATGCCTTGTATTCCTCTGTACCCTAGGCAAGTCTTGAACTTGCAAACCTCCTGCCTTGACCTCCTGAGTCCTTGAGCCTCCAGACTCTGTTTAATTAAAATTTTATTAGAGTTTATACATACTTATTAGTTGGCTTTAGATTTTTTGGGGGACACAGTGATGGCATAAACCTCTGTGACCATAAAACCCAGTAATGTGTGCATAGTTTCTATTTGCATATAAATCTGTTATTTAGCGAACAGTGTGAGAAAGCTGTATCCAGCACCGTGCTGAGTGCTCAGTTCCTCTTAGTCCCTGAGCTCCTAGTCAGAAGTTCATGTGGAAGCATGTCAGGTCAGCTCAAGGCTGAAACAGGATGCCTGTTGCCAGCACACTTGCACTGTCACAGATCTGCTAACAGATGCTTTCCTGTCAGGATGGCCTTTCTTCCACAGAGCTGCACTGAAGTGGTGTGGGTGCCAGGCTTCCCCTGCGGTGGAGCCCCTCCCATCCAAGACTTCCGCTTAGTTGTGGAAGGGGAAACTAAGCTGTTTTCTTTTAAGAACCTCCCATGCTCTGTTGAATTGAAACAAGCCAGGATTCAGTGAAGATTAAGACATAACTTAGAAATGTATCTTGAATTTTTTTACAAGTAATTTCTTTTTTATGGTTTTTCTTCCTCCCTCCCTGACTCGCTCCCTCCCCCTTTCTCATCCCAGTCCCCACCCACCTCCTCTCTGCCCCTCCCCCATCCACTCCTCCTGTTTCTGTTCAGAAAGGGGCAGGCTCCCATGGATAGCGACAAAATCTGGCTCATCAGGTTGTAGTAAGACTAACTAAGCACCTCATTTTGTATTAAAGCTGGGCAAGGTGACCCAGTATGAGGAATAGATTCCCAAAAGCCTGGAAGAGCCAGAGACAGCCCCTGCTCCCACTGTAAGGAGTCCCCACAGAAGGTTTTAAAGATAGGTCTCACTATGTAGACACAATGGCCTTGACCCTCCTGTCTTGGTCATCCAAGTCCTGGGTAACAGGCACACACTAACCTGCCTAGAAGAAAACTAAGTCTGCAAAGGTCAAGCCAGCTGAGTAGGTGCGGCAAGCTGCGTCTTTTCATACGATAACCACATATAATGCCCCATGTATTTAACAGCTTAGACTGTTAGTGCATTTTTATGGGCCGCCTCTGAGTTGCTGGGGGCAACTCATATCCACACACCCAGACGCCATGCATGGACAGTAATGGAGAGAACCCTGCTGTTTGTCAGCTACCCTCCATGTGGTTTCCTATGCCACTCTAGCTGCTCAGTGGCAGCCAGACATTGTCTCTATAGGACAGTAACTACTACTGTTTGCTTTGTTTGACGTGCGTGTGCGTGTGTGTTACAAATGTGCATGCATGTGTTACCTGCCAGTGTAAGGTTATTTCTCATTCAATCCCTGCCGTTTTGTTGGAGACAGCCTCTTACTGCCCCAAATCCCACGGGGATCATAGGTGTCTCCCCAAATGTGCTTGGTGGGTTCCGGGCTCGAGCTCAGGTGCTCACATTTACGGGACAGATTCCTACTGACTGACGTCTGTTCTTAGCCCCTAAGGTACACATTCAACAAACTCAAAACAGCACCCCCCTCAGACAAAGATGCTTATGAATGTGTTCATATCAATAACATTACTGTCATTTTTCTTCTTTGCATTATATTTATTGGGGGGGGGCAGCAAATAGACCAAAGCTCACGTGTGGGTATCAGGAAAATTTTCAGCAATCAGTTCCTTGTCTCCACCATGTGTCGCGCCCCCCCCCCCCAGGTCACAGGCTTGGTGACCAGCATCTTTACCAACTTAGCCCTCTTTTTGGCCCTTACATGGCCTTTTGAAAGTTTATTTCAATTCTGTAATTAGCAGATAAAGCTTTTTTTTATTTAAATAATTTTACTGTATTTTGTCTCTAATAATAAAATCTGAATTTTGCTTTTTTTGTTGTTGTTGATTTTTAGAAGAACCTTTGAAACTATTATTATCAAGATTAAATCAAACTTCTATCGTACCCCCCCCCCTTAAACAGAAGTTATTTGTTTGGAAGAGCCATTTTCCCTGGGTAGCTACAGCTGTGTGAGTTATAGGCCAGCTGAGCACTCAGGGGGCCCGGAGTCCTGGGCCTGCAGTGAGCACCGAGTCTGGGTGTATCTTGTTGAGGCTCACTCAGTGAAAATCTCTGCACCTTCAGAAGCTCTGTTTAACTCCGGCAGGCTCCCCTCTTAGCTGGGGGGAAGATATTTGCTGTTTCCACAGCAGCTCTGAACACTTGGATGTTTGACCAGAGTCAGGGTAAGTAGGGAGTGGGTGTCTAACAGCTGGGGGGTGCTCACAGTTGAGATCTGAGCAGAGGCTGTCTCACAGCTTTCAGAGCTCCTGTGTTTTCTGAAGCTGCCAGAGAAACCTGAACTCTGAGCTTTGGCATTTAGACGCTGCCCGAGAACAGTTGACGGCCATTATCGTTTGCTGCATTATTTATCGGTACGTGTCCTGTGTGACAGTGTATGCTACTCTTTTCTGTCTAGGTCGCACTGGAAGGTACACCCTTATAGAAAAATGGAGAGATACTGAAAGGCACTTGGCCCCTCATGAAAACCCCATCATATCCTTAAACAAGTGGGGGCAGTATGCTAGCGATGTACAGCTCATCTTGCGTAGGACTGGGCCGTCTCTCAGTGAGAGACCCACCTCAGACAGTGTGGCCCGGATTCCGGAAAGAACTTTGTACCGACAGAGCCTGCCCCCATTGGCCAAACTGCGGCCTCAGGCGGACAAGTCAATCAAAAGGAGGGAACCAAGAAGAAAATCCCTGACCTTCACGGGAGGTGCCAAGGGGCTGATGGACATTTTTGGGAAAGGTAAAGAAACTGAGTTTAGGCAGAAAGTGTTGAGTAATTGCAGGTCCACGGCAGAGGAGCTGAGGAGGCTGATCCGGCTCCAGACAGATGAGCTGCTGTCCATCGAGCAGCAGCTGCAGTCCAGCGAGGTAGAAATACGATTCTTGGAGCAAAAGTACAGTTCCAGCCTGGAAGAGGAAATTGTCCGCCTAGAGCAAAAGATCAAAAGGAATGATGTGGAGATCGAGGAGGAGGAATTTTGGGAAAATGAACTACAGATCGAACAAGAAAATGAGAGGCAGTTGCAAGACCAGCTTGATGAGATACGGCAGAAAGTCACAGCCTGTGACAGCAAGCTGAAGGACTGCCTGGCTCAGATCCACACTGTGGAAAGCGCTCTGGAAGCAGAGAAGCTTCACCGGGAGGTTGAGGAGGCGCAGGTCAACGAGGAAGAGGCGAAAGGGAAGATTGACAAGGTCAAGGGGGAAATGGACCTCCAGGGCCAGCAGAGCCTGAGGCTGGAGAATGGCATCAGAGCCGTAGAGAGGTCCCTGGGGCAGGCCACCAAGCGGTTACAGGTAAGGAAGGGCATCTGTCTTAGATGGAGAGTATATGAGTATGTGGCAGCATCCAGAAGGGAGGCCTCCTGTTTAAGGGGATGGACAGTCCCTCTGGCCACAGTGTCCATGTAAACCAAGCTTGTGAAATGAGTCCTGAAAGTGGTCCCGCCTCCCACGCCGCCCCAGCCCCTCCCACGCCGCCCCAGCCCCTCCCACCCCTATAGCAGCCCCACCCACAGCCCAGTTACAGCATGGCTGGGTTTTTCTAACCAGGACAAGGAACAGGAGCTGGAGCAGCTGACCAAAGAGCTGCGACAAGTCAACCTCCAGCAGTTCATCCAGCAGACGGGGACAAAAGTCACTGTGCTGCCAGCTGAGCCCACTGACATAGAGGCCTCCCGGGCAGACATAGAGACAGGTAAGGTGGTCCCTTATTTCCCCTGGTAAGTCACCAAAAATGGCAGCCTTCTTGTTTCTGAGCAAATCTGTAGCACTTGGGGAAACTCTTTTCTTGGATGGTCACGGTTTTTTGTTTTGTTTTGTTTTAAACTGCTTCTTTACGGACCTGTTTACCCAAGTATAAATATGAATGTGGGCCATATCAATTTTCATCCTAGCTTCTCCAGACTCCCCTTCGCTCCTGAGTCTTTGCTGTTCATCTGTCCTGTTACTAAGACTTCCCATCTGTGTGCTGTTCCCTCAGCAACTGGGGGGGGGGGGGGCAGCAGGACAAAGCCCTCTGGTTCTGGGAACTGGTTCATGGCCATGGCTCCTGCCTTCTTCCCTGTCATGTTGGCAGGGTGCCTGCCTTCTTCTTCCCTGTTCTTTGGGGTGGGAATTTAACGAGTTTTCTGGGTAGCCAATTCACATGACTGTCCATTTCCTGTTTAGAGACGCCATTCCAGTCTGGGTCCCTGAAGCGACCTGTATCATCACGGCAGCTCCCCAGTAATCTTCGTATTCTGCAGAACCCCATCTCCTCTGGATTTAACCCTGAAGGCATCTATGTTTAACACTGTCTTCAGGAGAAGGAGTCCGCCAAGGTACCAAGGACAGTAAAATCCTTCAGTTTGTGCCAATTGAACAGGGTCTGTTCCCAAGCCACTGTATCCTCTCCTGATCACAAACCACGTGGGGCCCTGTGCACTGACGCTGAACACGGAGCCTGTTCACACTTCGCAGTATTGACATGTTGTCCAGCAGCTGAAATGCAAAGCCTTCATTTTTATTTGTAGCATTCAGAGAGAGAGCATTATTAAAGTATTAATCTATGTTTATACATGAATAAACCCTGCATTAAGAGTAAAGTTATGTAACCGATTAATTTATTCCATGTAACTGATTGATGAATGAATGTTGCTGTTAATATTTTATTAGTCCCATCCTGTGACTTAACTGTGTTAAATATTGTGGGTTCTGACTGTGCATGTTGGCAGACTCCGTCCGGCTTTGCTTTTATACAGCTATGCAGCCTCATGGGGGCTTCCCCTCCAGACCAACTCCAAGGGAGCTTGCCGCACTTAACCCTGGCGCCTCTTCTCGCCCCTCCTGGCAAGATAATTCAGCTTTCTTTCTGGTCTGGAATGTAATCATTTCTTTACAGTATTTCCCAACACAAATTGCCACATAACATCACAGAAATATCTTTAATGGGGTAAATGGTTCATGTGAAATGCTTGTGGTCATGGACCTGCCATCGGTGCAGCTGGTGGCTGTCCTGGATTTCCTGACACACTCACAGGTCTTCCCGCCTCCCCACCGCCTCCGCTGAACCCTCGTGGTGATGTAATGTGAGGAGAGGCCCCGATTGCTGTACTTTGGGATGGTGTGGCACATGTGTAGTCCATGAAGCAGAGCAGGAGTGGGTGCTGCTTGCCGTGACTTAAGACACGGGCTCCGTGTTTTCTTTCCTCACGGAGGCAAACTTAGGTAACACTGCAGTCGGGGAGTTTTCTACCAAGGAAATAAAATTAAGTTCAGAGTATGTTTTTATTTTTAAATTTGACTTTAGGATATTAGTCTCCATTTATATTAATATCATTTTGTGTATTAAGCCAAAAAAGAAGAATCAATACTTTTCTCATGAGCAGTGACTTAGTCATGTGTAGACGCACTGTCAGATGCCTTGTAGCCCCTCACATCCCCTGTGAGTACATTTGGCACAGTGTAACTAAGACTTTAATCTGAAACTTAAAATCGTTTTCATTGGTAAAGAGAAAACATTCTCTATTTACTTACATGCAACAGCATAAAGTGCGTGGTAACACCGACGGCACCTCTGGGTGGTTGACCACATCCAGCTTACTCTGGGTTGGTGGGCGTTTAACGGAGCTGAGACTGCTGCTGGATTTAGGTTTCCAATGGAAGATTTAAGAATGGCTGTGAAGTAACAGGTGCTTCTGGAGATCTGAAGGCCAGGAATGAATGTTGCCTCTTACGTGAATAAATAGCAGACCTCAACTGAACTGCTGGCCACAGTTCCTCCCACTTGCCAAGCTGACCTTGCCATTTCTGCGATGCATTTGACCCGAGAAGGAACCACGCCCGTACACACTTGCTCCAGATTTGTAACAGTTGTTTCATATCTATATATCTATATAGCTATAATATATAGCATATATATATTATCAATTATCAATTCAAAGTCAAAGCAGTTTGTAGCTTTTTGTGCCAGTGCTGACTCCCTGTGTCCAGCACACGCCTTACTGTGAGACTCTCCAACACTCTCCTGCTGTTCAGCTAGGTAACACAAAGGAAAACATTATACAAAGGGACTGTCCTCGATTTAAACCACAATGTTCACTCTACTGTGAGAAAAAGACAACGCTGGGCGTTCATGACCATAATCCCAGCACTCAAGAGGCTGAGGCTGCATAGTTACCAAAGGCCCAACCTCTCCTAAGCTACATGGGAAATTTCTAGAGTAGCTTGGAGTCTGATGCGAGATCCTGTCTCGAAAGAAAGGCGCCTGCCCAGAGTCCTTGTCACACCTGGCAGAGATCACATCGCACAGCTCACAAGATTCGTAGGAACTGCCAGGCTTGACTAGCAACTCTAGAGCAGGCGACACATCCCATCAGCTCCCAGCAATCCTGGCTCTGACAGTTCCACACTTAAATCTCTAACAACCTCAGAACGCTGAAGCTGCCAGCCACCCTCCTACTAACAGGCACGCTCCAGCACTGCCTCCCAGACGGGCGGGGTGTGGCCATGTGAGCTCACACTCAGGCTGTGCGGCTGTGCTTTGAGACCCAGGTACAGGACTTCCGCAAGCACACCACCGTCAGATGTTTTCTAAATCTTTTTGTAGCTAGGGAAAACAATTAATTTCTGTAGGAACATCTGAAAATACTTTAGTCTACTGTGACTGCTTTTACAGATGTCTCTCACCACACCTCAGCAGAGAGGTACCGGCAGTGGGATTCAATAAAATACCAAATGGGGAATAAGTATCCAGGTTCTAAATAAGTAAATTAGGTCACAAATTTTTGTGTCTTTTTAACTAGTACTGGAGGTTATATTTCTACAGGTATTAAATATATTACAAGTTTTATTCTTACCAATGAGTAATTTGGATATCATTGGTCTGTTTGACCTCTAGGGCACCGTCATCCTCAGATACTCACCCACAGGGGGTCACCTCAGTTTTGTGTGTATGTATGTTTGTGTGTTCGGTTTTCTCATCTCCTTTATATTTTGGCTGTTAACGTCCCTTTTCGTCTCACTGAACAGGGACATTTTATATGTGAGGCTTCAGTTGGTGTTGAAGTGGCCCTCTGAATGCCCGGTTAGTTATCGATGGGCAGCTCAGTAGCTCCTCCAGTGGAAAAAAGTTACAAACAAGAACGGACTGCACCCTGGCACATACAGTAAGACACAGCTCACATGTGACATGTGGAGTGTGGTAGCACACACCAGCAGATCAGCACTGCTCCTGCAGCCAACATAAAGTGCAGTCCTGTGGTAACACGGCCTTTGTAAGAGCAAACGGGTCCTTGGAGACAAGAACTCTTGTATCGGGGAATATCTTTCCAAGTTAGGACTTCAACAGATTGAGGACATAGTATGGAAAAGACAGGAACAAACACCTGATTATTCAGGCATGCACAGACACAGGCGGTTAGCGTTGGACATTGCCTTGGAAAGATTAGGCATGTGTATATTAAATGACACCCTGTGTCCCTTTGTAATACAAGCCTGTCTTGATTAGTCCATACTGTGGTGAAGCTAGCTCAGAGTATTCCTTTTCTATCATGTCAGTGTTTTTAAGTTGCATGTTTGTACTGTCCTGTCTGCTGTGGTATTTTTAAGTTCCAGGAGAAGGCTGTCAAATGTGTCAAGGATTCATGGCCATCAGTATTTATTTAGTATTGCTGCTTCACGTTTCCCCGGCGCACCTCGGACGCCAGGTCAGTGGCTGCGTCAAAGCTGTGGGAGCTCCTTCACGTGCATTTTTTTTTTAATATATGTTATCTATCTATATATATATTTTAGAAACCAAATGGCTGCAGATGGCTATTTAGCATACTATTAAACCAGCAGAACTCTAAAGGCAATAAATATATGCATATGTGTGGGGGGAGGGGAAAGAGTGAAGATACAGGTTTACAGCCAGAAATGGTGATAGCCCTTCAGTGTATTTCTCAGGGTCTTGTCACTGACCTAGAAGGATTTGAGTTGCTGCAGCTTTAGACAGGAAGTGTCCATGTTCACTGAGTGTGGGCCATAAATTTGCCTTTAGTACTGCTTCGCTGATGTGTAAATAAGAAATCTGTAATATGTATTATATGTAATTACTTTCTTTTGACTTCATTTCAAAATGTATATTTTCTGACTATTACCACGAGCTATAAAGCAAAAGATCAATATCTGATATTCTCCCAAATAATAAATTTTCAAGATTTATTGGGGCAGTACAATTGTTGTTTTCTTTCTTACACACTTAATACGTTAAGATATAATTTTGTTTCCTTTGAAAGATGGCAAAGAAAGTACATCCGTGTATCAATGATTTAAAAACGCCATTGGTTTCTCTAAATGCAGTCGTTCAACCTGAAGAATTCTGTGTTGCTCAGAAGGCACCAGCTAGGCTGGGGAGATGATTCGTAGGTAAAGTACAACATGAGACCAGAGTTAAGAGCCTCAGCACCCATGTAACACCTGACACATGCCAGAATTCAGTTCAAAAGATCAAAGGCAAGTGAACCGCCGGGCTCATTGGCCAGCCAATCAAGCTGCAGTAGGAAGTTCCAGGCTCAGTGGGAGACCCTTCTCACACCTAAGATGGTGACTGAGAACACCTGCAGCTGACCTCTGACGTCCCCACAGAAGAGCACACCTGCGCATGGATGTGCATATATGCACACACACCCCCACACACACAAGAAAAAGTAGCTGTTTCATTAAATAATAAATAAGAACTTATAAAAAACTAACCCCCCCATTTCAAACATGAAAGCATGATAATTGCTAGCCTGTATTCCCAGATCTCTTAGAAGCTGTGAGACAGCTTTAACACACAGCATGAACTCTGCAGTAGCTGGGGGAGGGGGAGGGTAAGCACAGCTGCAGCCTGGGTGTCATAGTCAGCCACAGTGAATGAGTAGGTGCTCCCCTTGAAATTCGGATCACTGTGCTCCTGGTGGCACCGCTGGAGCTCACAGGAGAGCATCTACATCTTGCCCACTTCTGATGTGCAAATGTATTCATCCCTGTAGGAATATTTTGTAAGGAGTAAAACCTAAGTTAAGGAAATGGGCATGATTATTATAAAAGCAAAGAGAAAATGGAAAAACACTTATTTGAAGAATTCTGTCTCCCAGCTAAGAGGTTTTAGACTTTTAATGATCTGTGCCGTCTCCTCTAAAGCATATGTCAGTGGCTGAACAAGAACAGTGTCCCTGTTAACAAGATTCCTCCCTGGCTGCTTACGCCCTTCATGCAGGGCAACTTAGGAGATGGCAGTAGAGAATTTATTTAGTGAGTTCTATGGACTGAAGCTGTGGGGAAGGATGGCTTCCCCACCTCAAGGAGAGCGCCATCTCATGAGGTGGATGGATAGATGATAGGAAGATAAATGATACGTAGACAACCTTAATTCTTCATTTAATAAAAGTAGAAACTGCAGCCTAGAGAAAAACCAATGCTAATGTCATACAGCTCTTATGAGACAGATGCAATAAGGCAGCCAATTAAAAAATTAATTTTATGTATATAAGTGTTGTGCCTGCATATATGTAGGCATGTGTGTGCCTGGTGCTCACAGAGGCCTTTCACAAAGGTTTCTAGATCCCCTGGAACAGGAGTTATAGATGGTTGTGAGCCACCATGTGATGCTGGGCACTGAACCTGGGTCCTCTGGAAGAGCAACCAGTGCTTCTGATGTCAGGAAAAGAGGACTTGTTGGAAGGAGGGGCTCATGGGGAAACAGAGAATAATGGGCTAAAGATGAATAATTTAAAGTTTTAACTAAGAAGCCTATGAGTCTGGAGATCCAGATTCTAATATCTCTGTTCCATAAGAGCTGCATAACAACACACTGGCAATAATTTTCTCTGGGCTGTGGGTTCTGCCTTTATTAAATGAAGAGTTAAGATTCATTTTAAATTTATTTATTTATTATTTATGCAAGGTTTCACTTTATATCCCACAGTGGCCTAGAACTTACTATGAAGCCCATGCTGGCCTCAAACTCATGGCAATCCTCCTGCCTCAGCTTCCCAAGTGCTAGGATTGCTGGAGTGTGCCACCCTGCCTAGTTTGTTTCTGTCTCTTCCAGACCTAACACCCCATGGTTTTATATATAAGAGAAACAGAAGATGGGGTAAAAAGCATGAAGTTAAAGAACAGAGGCCACAGATATGTCAGCTACAGAAGAACAGCAGCCGGGAAGCCGGGAACAGAGCAGACGGCTACCCTGACTCCTGACTGAACAAGGGTCGATACCCCCAAAGCACCTGCTGAGGAAGGAAGGGGTCCAGTCTGCGGCTGGAAGCAACATCCCCTAGTCTGTCCTTCACACCGCCCTGCAGGGTCACTCCCAAAGGCCCACCTTGCAAGGAGTGGACACTGTGTCCCCGATGCCTATACCAACCCCACTAGCTTTTCCTGAAACGAGCTAATGCCTTCCCTCCTCTGCTTCAGATTAGGTCATCCGTCCTAAGCTAGCAGTGTCCTCCGTCCTCTCCGGTGCTTTGTCTGGGCCTGGCCACGATTTGCCTGTTCCTTAGACATCCATCATCCCCACGGGGCAGACACCAGGGCGGCTTCACGCTGCTTTCCTCCCCGTTTCCAGCACTGGTACACCTGTTCCTCTGAGAGATGTAAGTTGTATTGAAAGACAGGCGGTTGGGTGCTGTCTGCTACAAGTGAGAAATTGAGCCCTCGCCCCGGTCAGACCACTTGAAAACGCGTGCTTTCAATGATTCCACAGCGCACTCCATGTGGCCCCTCTCCCCCATCTCCAGTGCCCTGGCAATAGGTTGGTAACAGAGATGCAAGGAGATGCAGCAGGGAGATGAGCAGACGGGGCCCTTCTCACCCACCTGGTGCTTTGTTTCCCATCCTCACCCTACTTCCAAGCAGTCTGCCTGTCTACAGGAGGTCCTGCGTGGCCTGTGATCCCACGGCCTTGCCTCCCAGCATTTCAAGGGACTGACCTGTCTCCTTTTACTTCCTGTCTGACATAAACGTTAGACAGACACTCAGGTTGGAGAAGGGTGTGTGTTTCTCAGTAGACTCACTTCATAATCAGCTCTCATTCCTAATCTGGGCTCCCATCTTTGGCCCAGATACATGAGCGATACAGTTTGAGGGCAGTACCTCTAACATAAATTAAGAGAATAAATATTCTTGTCCAAATAAGTCTTAGTTCCTTCTTCTCTGCCTCATAAGAGCATTAGTGCAAACTGCCAGACGCTACTTCAGTGCATTATGACTTTCCTTATTAGTTCTGTTTACCACAGCCCGGGGTGAGTACACTCCCGATAGCTTCTCCTCAACCTGTCAACCCTGCAAACTCCAGATGGCTGTCACACAGAGAATGTGTGTAAAAAGAGCTGGGACTTGGTCTGCATGAAGCTTGAGGAGATAGGCAAACAAATCCCTCATAGGTCTCCAACTGCCACAATTGGTTCTATTCAACAGAGCCTCCTTTCCGGGACTTCCCACTGTAGACCTCAGGGTATCGCTGCTCGGTCATCTGATGCTCTGCAGGAAGGTTCTTCAGCTGTTTGGATCTAAGTCCTCAAGGTTGTGTGTCCCTTCAGTCTTCATGGGACCGATGCTTGATCCTGTGGCTCTGAAAATAGGAGCAGTAATTATGCCAGCCAGGCAGGGCTGAAGTTGTTCTAAAAATACACTTGTGCCCCTTGCTTTGGCTACTGGACTACCGAAACAGTGGACCCCAAGAAATTAGAACTCCCCAGGAGTCTCAAGATGGGAGAAGAGGAAGCCTAGGCCCTGGGCCAGCCAGAGGGGAAACTTCACGGTTGGTTAGTCCGCCTTACAGGAGAGGTCAGAGATGGCTCCTCACCCTGTGACTTGGTTGTGTACAACCCTGCTTCTCTGTTTAAAACACAACCTCGAATCAAGACCCCGAGGACAGGCTTGTGGTAGGGAACCACTGAATGCCTCTTCCCATTGGACACATCTCCTTTTTCTGAGAACTAACTGCTGAACCTGGCTGTCTCCCTAAGTCCAGGAACACAATTACCCACAGATCCTCACTATCTTAAAGCTTAAGGTTCGTCTTCATGCTCTAAATTTCACTTTAAAATGTTTTTAACTTACATAAAGAATCTTACTGGGAGATGTCCCGCTATAGATGTAAATACTCTGATTTCAGTTTACATATCTTCAAAACCCCTTCCTGTATCCCATCCTGTTGCCGTATTGCTTTTTCTTTACTCCGGATCTGTACCCCAAGTCTATTTTTTCTTAATCCCCCAAGAGGAACGTTGGGCCTTGACAGGAACACACCTGTGCACACATGTACACATACATGCATACATACATGGACACACACAAGGGCTCACATACACACAGGCACACACATACTCCCACGTGCACCACCCACACATGCACAGACACAAGGGCTCACACACGCATGTCCACAACAAGCATGCACGCACACACACACACGCACGCACACACACACACGCACACGCACGCACGCACACACACACACACACACGCACACGCGCACACACACACACACACGCACGCACACCCATGAAAATGGCAAAGGGAAGTGAGATGGATAAAGCTGGGGTGCAGATGGCCCCGGGGCCTAGGCTGGCTTCCGCTGTCTTGTGACCTTGAACAGTCATTTCCCCCTGGGGGCTTCGGCACCGTCACCCAGTGAGGACTGCACTAGGTCTGAAAATGACATTTATATGTTGATATGTATTGAGTTTTCTGACCGCATCAGTAAAGACTGAACACTCATTCTGAAAGGATAATACATGGTGGTTGTCTCAGTTATTTTTACTACTTCCTTTATTTTCCATTCTTTCTTTAGTAAGAATCCCAGGGTGAGTGCCTGCAGTAGCCAGAAGTCGTACACTAGGGGGCAGCAGCTACCGCCCTTCAGTTGGTCCAGGCTCCAAAGCCTGGTGAACCAGTCTGAGCAGTGAGGGCCTCACTCACTCACAGGGTGCCCTTTGCACCAGTTCTCCGCCCTGCCCTGTTGTTTTGGAAGGAGAAAGGTCTGCTCACTCTCAGGACTTAGGTCAGTCCTTTGCCAACATAGTGGCGAGCATGTTTTATCAGCTGACATGTCACAGGTCTCCTCTGACTCTGCATGACAAAGTGACTTTCGGTGGGATCTTATTAGTGTTTCAGTATGGTCTTGTAGTAATGGGTGATTTTTTTTTTTTTTTTTTTTTTTTTTACCTCTGTGAATTTGACCATAGGGAAC